AATAATATGAGAAACATTGAAGTGGATGTGGTCAGGTCCTTATAGTATCACAAATATTTACAAGGTGGAGTATCTTACGTGTACATTAGGGAATATGTCTTTTTGAGTATTCTCCAAAATATATAAAAATCAGGCTTATTTAGTGCTAAATTATTTAGTGCTAAATAAGCCTGATTCTTATATATTTTGGAGAATACTCAAAAATACCTATTTCCTAATGTACACGTAAGATACTCCACCTTGTAAATATTTGTGATTTTGAATTATTGGTGATGGTTAAGGGGACCCCACCTAGGTGTTAGAGTATCACGTACAGCACAAATACTTACTAGAATTCTGTACCCATACCATTTTAAACAGGTCCTTATAGTAGGTTGGGGCAAGACGTAAAGAAACACATTCTAGTATCTTTTTGCAATGTATATTTATAAAGGTTTTCAGCTTTTCGTACAAAAAATATATTACAATAAATATACAATAAACTTAAGGTAAGACTTGAGGTGCCCTTTAGATGTGTACAAGAGATATAATGAAAGTGTATGACATATTCAAAAACATTTTTACCATAGTTTTGATAAATGAGGAGCACCTATAGGAAGTAAAGGTAACATTACCTGGGGAGTGGTCTTGGCTATGGAATGACATATAAAAAGGACTAAAAATCGCCCCTGGGGCATAAATTGTGGGGTTATGGTGGTGATAATAAAAAGGGGTAGAACATTGACCAAGCAGATGAGCAAGGAGAAGAAGGGGAATGAAGCAATACAGAGGAGAGTAACAGAGAGTAAAGAGAAAGGAGGCAAAAGAAGAAAGTATTTTGGCTAAAGGAGAGAAAAGAGACGATAGAAAGAGATCTACGATTTTGTGAAAGTTTTTGATCTGCTTAGTCATTTTGTTTAGTTCCATTGCTTCATTAACTTTTTAAGTGAATATTTTCATGCTAGGAACTGTGCGTTCAGCCACTAGACAGATACCAACACACCCAGGTTAAGGTTGCCCAAATCAGGGCCTCTTCCTGGAGCCCTTGGTTCTTTTCTGTGAGTGATGGGAGTGAGCGCAGGACTTATCTTTTTGTATTTGTATTCATTTTTTTGTATCACCTAGCTAGGTTACAATGCTACCACCATCCCATGTTTTCCCTATTAAGGGTTAATAAGTATATAGGGGTGTATATAAAAAAAATACCCATCTCTGTCTCATTGGAGATGTCTTTGCCAGAAGCTCAAGGAAACAAGGTGAAGGGTTAGTGTAGGACCCGCTTAGGGGGGTCTGCCTTGACGTTGGCAGGCGGGCATTCCCTCTAATGGCCATTGGAGTAACTAAATGACCTCCATTTGTCTAAATATACATAGGGATTAAGGAGAGAGCGCAGGTAACTTTTTTTCCTTTTCTGTTAGTGTTGTGTGTGGTGGCTGAGTGTTGTATGTATTATTGTTATGAGTGTTATTGTTATGTGAAGGAGTCTGAGAGATGGATGAAGGGGAGGCTAGGTGTACCTGTGTGTGCTGGTTGAGTGTTATGTATGTGTCGATGGGTGGCTAAGTGTTGTGTGTGGGAGATACCGTGTTGTGGGGAAGTTTTTCACATTCCCTCCTCTAGCTTACCTTGTGACAAGAGGGGGGTGTTATCCCTGGTGGTCCAACAGAGTTGTGGAGGGTATTCCCTCGTGGTCCACTGGATTTGAGTAAAAAAAGAAAAAATCAGAAATGCTGTAGTATGGGACAACCACATCAACAGTGGTTAGCGGTGACCAGTTTGAGACAATTCTTCCAGTACTGGTCCATCTTTTTTTTTGTGTATTGTTAAAGCTTTAACAGAGTACGTTGCTAGCTCAGTAGGGTTCTGTAGGGTTATTTCTATCCATATGGTAAATGAGGCTGTGTATTCACAGATATCCTGCTATTTAGAAGGGTCATCAGGGAACCTAGATCTTTATCCCAAGCTGAAATACATAGCAACGTGACTTGATTGAGGTTGGAGGTTAGTGTAGAGTAAAGAGTGGATATTTAACCTTTTTGGAGAGGGCTTAAAGCAATAAAGGACCATTTGAGAGATGCAAATATCTCTAAGTCATACTGAACAAATCGGGTGATTTGGTCAGTTACACTGGAGACATTGCAAACCACTAGTTTTGTCACAGTGCAAGGATTGTGCCATCATATTTCATATTGCCTGTACAAAGCCATAGAAGCTGAAAAAAGAAACAAAGTAATGCCCTAGATGAGTAGAATGTGACAGCAGATAAGAACTATTCGGCCCATCTAGTCTGCCCAATTTTCTAAATACTTTCATTAGTCCCTGGCCTTATCTTATAGTTGGGATAGCCTTATGCATATCCCACGCATGCTTAAACTCCCTCACTGTGTTAACCTCTACCACTTCAGCTGGAAGGCTATTCCATGCATCCACTACCCTCTCAGTAAAGTAATACTTCCCGATAATTTTTTTAAACCTTTGTCCCTCTAATTTAAGACTATGTCCTCTTGTTGTGGTAGTTTTTCTTCTTTTAAATATAGTCTCCTCCTTTACTGTGTTGATTCCCTTTATGTATTTAAATGTTTCTATCATATCCCCCCTGTCTCGTCTTTCCTCCAAGCTATACATGTTAAGATCCTTTAACCTTTCCTGGTAAGTTTTATCCCGCAATCCATGAACCAGTTTAGTAGCCCTTCTCTGAACCCTCTCTAAGGTATCAATATCCTTCTGAAGATACGGTCTCCAGTACTGTGTACAATACTCCAAGTGAGGTCTCACCAGTGTTCTGTACAATGGCATAGAAACATGCTGAGATGTTGTGAAGCACAGTCATGGCATGTGTTTTTGTTTGTTATATACTGCTAGGAAACATCATTCAGTTCTTGTTGTAAATAATCAGAGCCGTGAGAATAATCTCAGTATCAGTATAGGTATATATTAAATCTTTATAGTAAGGTATTCACAAGGTATTTATGGTTGTGTTTTTATTATTTCTATACATGTATTTCCAATTGCCATTTGTCAGCTGTTTACTTCATAATTTTGAAGAAGAAACAAACACTAGGCAGAAAACTATTCCACCTAAATTTGAAGGATATTTTCATGTTAGCCGTGATGATCATAGACACTGTGAACCGGTGCATTTTAAAGTTCTTGAAGATAGTTTAAGCAGGAGGTATGCAGTTAGCATATTGAACTTCCACGATTCGTGTAGGTTCCACCAATGTTTGGGCATTTTGAAGCAGTGGTGGAATTAAATATGGCATAATCAAATTTTAAGTAGCCTTGCACCATTCAAAACTAAATCTTTGTGTGGTTTTCCCTTGGAGGTACACTCCCACCCCTATAACAACTTCACCTCATTGCAGTTGTTATGGTGGGAAAGAGTGTCCGTGTTCTTCCACGATTCGTGTAGGTTCCACCAATGTTTGGGCATTTTGAAGCAGTGGTGGAATCATCTTTTAAGTAGCCTTGCACCATTCAAAACTAAATCTTTGTGTGGTTTTCCCTTGGAGGTACACTCCCACCCCTATAACAACTTCACCTCATTGCAGTTGTTATGGTGGGAAAGAGTGTCCGTGTTCTGTACGTATTATTTCTCTCAGTGGGTGGCCAGTGATAGGTGGAGAGTGTCAGCTGACTCAGCATATCACTGGCTCCTAGCAAAACATTTCTCATACTGTGACGGGAAAGAGTTAGGAAGCCAGGGGGCAGCTGTGTCAGGTGCCCAAGACCCAATTTTTAGAGTTAAATCATTGTAGAACAGTTTAACTCCTGAAGGTAAGACTGCATCATGACCCAACTGCTCTAAGTCAGCAAAGATTTCAATTTATCTACTCGATCGACTCGGTTTGGCCGAAATTTTTTTAAACTTTAGTTTCATTACAAAATTTCAATTGACCATTAATTTCTATTGAAATTAACGAATCCTGTGTGATAAACAGGATTAATGCAAATTGGAAGTGATAAATAAATAAATAAAGCGACGCAAAAATTAAAATAACAGTATTTAAAGATTTTCATAGCTATCCCTCTAAAGTTCAAGCTTGGTCTAAATTTGCAGCAAATTTATATTGATTGGCGGATAAAGCATGAAATCAATATCAAATAGCACTGCGTGACTATCGCTCTATGATTGTGGTCAAAGAATTGATCAGAAAACACCCACAATACATGGTTGCTACACTGTCGGTGGCTGCAGTGTTGCATGCACCGAATGTCATTCAGTCATTCGGGATGGTGATTTTGCATACCTTTTCTGACTAAGTGACCGAACACTGAAATGTTCGGTTATTTTGTGAGTTCTTCTGAAGACATGTCTAATTCCTATGATGTTTTCTTAGCCTTCATTTTAGCAAAGCATTATGGGAGTTGTTCTAAACAGTTAAGGGTCTATCTTTTGGTTTTTAGACTCGACACTTAGCTTGCTACCGTGTATGCCAAACTTATTTTGTTACAATTACTTGTTTCTGCCCTTTAACCCCTTAAGGACACACGACATGTGTGACATGTCATGATTCCCTTTTATTCCAGAAGTTTGGTCCTTAAGGGGATAAACACTTTACTTAGCAGCACTGTGTAATGTATTAAAAATGTATAATTTGTATTATTTATTATTAATAAACAGTGCTGTTAGTACCATGCTCTCTTTCGTTTCTATGCGTTTGTTTTTACTGCTTTGTTATGTTTCCAAGCAGTGAGGTTTTGCACATCTTTACTACACCGCCTTCTTTTTGTCTATCTTTACAGTTTTTCACACCTGAACTCTCCCTTCTCCGTCACCAGAGGGGCGTACACAGTCTAATTTTTTTCGCCTCCAGCTACAAGAAGACTCATTCAGTGTAGGAGGAAAGCATTAACTCTTGTCTCACCAGCCACACTCTGCGAGAGTGAAAAGTGGTGATTTTCCTTCCTGCACCTGGCGTGATGCCTCAAGTTGTGCAAGGAATGCAGTGGTTAAATTAAGGGTGTATCTTTCAATAAATATGTATATATACACCCTAACTAAACACATCTAGGTTCTCAGTGTAACATTAGATAGCTTCTGGTGACAGATAAGGAAAGAGAGCAGCTCAGCACAGAATTCAGGTATGTCTTCTTTGCTAACACTTACTGACACTTCCAAAATGAATTCTGACTTGGAAAAACTATAATCTTCTTAAATTTTACTATGCTGAAAATATATATAATGCTGTTTATTTTTATTAATTTTTTGTGGTTGTTTTTTTATATAACAAGTTTACGGTTGTGTAAATATATTTATTTAATATATTAATCATACAAAATTTTTGCTTGTCGAAGATTATGTTTAAAGGTGATTTAAAGAAAAAAATGGGTTTTTTTTTGTCTGTAGCAAATGAAGCGTGTATCCATATATACTTTTTGAATACCCTTTTCTTACACCAATTTAAATTATGGTCATTTTTGTCAGTGTTTAAATTGGTGAGAGGCAAAAATGATTTTTCTGTTCTTTTGGTTACAAGCTGAAATATCATTTAGTAAGCATGATTACTGGCTTCTGTAACGTTTGAGATCGATAATGTGTTCCTAATTTATATGTTGTTCTTGACCTTTTGAAAGATGAGAACTTGTTTCCTTGCCATTTAGGACCTTCAATATATTCGATGCTATACGTCATATAAAGTTCTGTTCTATTTCACCTTTATTATAGGACAACTTAAATATTAACCCCTTAAGGACACAACTTCTGGAATAACATGGAATCATGACGGAATATTTCCGTCATGTGTCCTTAAGGGTTTAAAGACGCTTTCAGTGATCTTCTCAGACTGAATCTATAGTACTGATGTCCTTTGCCTACAAATGGCTAATTATTAATAGTTTTAAGATACTAGTGTTTTCAAATTGGCTAATGATGAGTGTTTTTTTTTTTTTTTAAATGAGTTGATTTATATTTTTTGCTCTCTAGAAGAGATGAAGAGATGTCTAAATGAACCTCCACTGCAGAATTGGGTTGAACTGAAACACTCAAGTCTAAAGTGAATATGTTCAACTAATAGTAAATATACCTTCTTCAAGGATAGACTAAGCATTTTTGTAGCCTGACTTTGACAAATAGAAGAATTTCTATAAAGTTGGAGAGAAATAGGGAGCAATATTAAAACCAGACTTTAACCTTTCTAAAGCAAGATTAAGTAGATATGCATGATTGGATTTTTTTTCCCGTCTTCCTTGTCATGCATCTTAACCCAACATGGTTTGAATATACAGTATACAGAATCCATATGAATTAAAACTAAGCAAAAAACATGCCATTTTCAAAAAATTTTAAAGGAGGATAGGACAAAGTATTGGTACTAATTTATATAGGTGACTTAGGTTATAAATGCCTCACATGTGCATCTCCCTTCCTTCACTGTCAGGTTAATTTGCTAAATCAAGAATTGTTGATTATCGAGGTGGTCTGTTTAATTGTTGACTCTATAAGGAGTTCTAGCCACTGTTTACAAGAGTGGAATGGAGAATGCTTGTCAAACGTTCCACTGTTTCCAACAGACGTTTGCTATGTGAAACCCATTTGTTGGCTCACAAAAAGCCAGGTCTGTTAATCCCTCCATGCTTTCATTATTATTTGGCTGCCATTTAAGTGATGAATTTAACTAAATCTCTGTGTTCTTTGTTAATTAGGCTATTCAAATGATTCTTGTTGTTTCCATTTGATCTATCTAAAAATAACTGGGATCTATTCGGTTTGAATTCAGCCAAAATAGAATTTTATGATTTTGTCTTCAAAAGTTAAATTCCATGGCCAATTCACAATTTTGTAAATAACCATGTGGATGTTGTTTGGTGCAGACGAATCTTTGCAGTTGCAAAAAAAATAAAAGGAAAATGTTTTTTTTGAGAAGGTTTTCTGAGAAGCATCTCTTTTGTAACTTGTTTTGTGTGGTTCAAGCTATTTGAGCCCATCCTTCCTCAGGAATGCACACATCTGTGATACATATTATAGCACTCTAAATAAATATCATAACCATTTTAGACCACACTGGCAAATAACACAGGCTCTCTCATAGCCGATAAACTGGGCATACTGCTGCAGCTCTGGTACTACAGAAGGTAAATTCTTTATTTGTCATCCAACTTTAGAGGCCATTATAGACTGAGTAACATGCGCCCAGCCAAAGCTGCCAAGTAGAATCTGTTTTTTCCTTCGGAACCTAAAGATCAGAATGTTTGACACTAACCTGGCAGATAGCTTTGAAAACTCTTTGCACCTTAACCACTAGAGTAAGCTGTAGTGGTAATGATGCTTAAAGTACCCCTTTAAAATTATTTACATCCAGTTTTCTGAGGAATGGCTTTTAAACAATTTCCCATCAAAGTCTTATTCATTTCAGTATATACCAATGTTGCCATGCCAAGCGACTAGCTTACAGTATACTAATGGGTCTAAATACCAAATAATTAAAAGAGTTATTTGGTATTCACTCTATTATTGAGTAAAAGTGAGCCCAACTGCTACTCTGGTGAATGTTCCATTAAGTTACCAATTTCCAAACCAAGAACTATACCACTATTGCCACTTAAAGGTGGTGTGCCAGTTCAAAAGTCTTTCTTAGCATTCTTTGTTTCTCATGCCTTACAATAACACTGTCAAAGTGTTTTCAATATGAATTTTTTAAGTGACTAAACCATTATTCAGTATTTCTATTCCTAAACTTTTCAGGTTCCTTCTGCCTCCATTGAAGGATAGAGCCTATCAAAAAATCGAAGATTGTATCATGTCCCAGGTGATACCCAATCATGTGTTGCGTGTGGGGCAAACCGTTTCATTGGCATCCAAGGATGAAAGTGACCCTTTCAGACAAGGTGTACATCCAATGTGCATCTCCATGAACAATAAATGCTCTTACTTCACCACTGAGAGATATACGGGACAGGTCACAACACAAGTCAATGGTCATGTGTTGCCCAACGCAGCTGTATATGGAGAGAAGAATCATGTCCACGGAACAAATTTCAGGGTAGCAGAGAAAGGATCTCACCGCAGCAGCCTGCCTGAACAAAACAGGGTACCAGGAGGTATGATCCGCAACAATTATGTTGCACAGCAATCAACAAATACTGAAGTCTGTGATGAAGGAGACCCTATATCTCCTTCATTGGATATCTCCATTGATCATTTAAACCAACTCATTTTACAGTTGGACCCTACATTCCAACCCTTGCCGATCAAAACTGAGCAGTTCTATAATAGTTCAAAACAGTTCTCTTCTTCAAGTCAGGTGTCTTCATCATACAAGCCAGAGATTTCGAAGATGTCAAGTTCACCGGGTAAGGATGTGTCTTAAAAGATGCAGAGAAATTAAGTATAAACCCTTTTTACCACCTTGTTAACCTGACTACTGTATGCTTATAAAATCTAGATGTTATTCCCCATACCATAAGAGGTGCTGTACACTTATAAATATGCAAAAAATATTTTAATTGTTATCTTATAGTAGTAATAACAAATATTAATTTGTTTCTTAAACTAACCCAGGCAATTAATGAAGACACATTAGCAAATGATGGCAGTTTTTCCATAATGGTTTTCAACTTTAACAATGTCCTACCCAAATGTTGACCATTGCAAGTTTCTGTTCCACTTTGAGCAATATATGTACAATATATAGATATATGGACTGGTCAGTGTAACTCGGTTCTGACATCATATCTTTAGCCTTGTCCTAATGTGTAGATGCCAGAACTACATGACGGATTTTGAGATAATTTGGGACATAATTCTAAAAGTAGATCAATTATCATAAATCTAGTGTAAACTCTCCAATGATTGCTATGTACTGAGGACTTTAAAACTGCAATGTATACATTAACGATGTGCATTATTTGACATTTTTATAAAATGTGCCTTTTTGTGTTAAAAACAAAACAAAAAACTACCAGCTATCAAAGTACAGACTTTGAAAGTACAGACTCTTCTTTAAAAGCAGTGAATGCTTTCTTAGTTTCTACAGGAAGAACTTTCAATGCACCCTTTTAAATTTAAACAAACAGAGTCATAGTCAACAAACCAATAGCGTATGAGCTGTAGGGTTTAGCAAAAAAATAGTTGAAGTGATGTAGAGACTTGTTATGTTGTTGTTAGTGATGAAATATAATGCCTGGAAGGTTAGTTTGTTCAAATAAAATTAACCCAACCCATTGAGTTGGCTTCAGCTATAAAATAAGACGTTTGTATTACGGGAAAGACCCACGCGTGAATAATCATCACATGTTCCAGGATTTTGCCTTCAGGGGCAGGTGGGATTCTGATGTCATGTGGAACACAGCATGACATTACGATAACATGGCAACAGTTGTTAAACGGATGTAATGTAAATAACATGAAGGATTGTGGGAACATGTTAAGGCTAATATTGGACAAGGAGATCATTTGTGATATATGGCACAAGCATCTATTGACAGAAGGCCATTTTACCCCGAGACTTAAAGCGGCACTGTCACCATCTGGGGACCTTGCATAACTTGCAAAGATCCCCAATGATGACATCACTGATGGGGGTCCGGTGGCCGGCTGGTGGCATGCAAAGATGATTTTACCTAACTGACCTGAACCTACCTGTTATGCCATCTTCTTTCAGCCAGTACAGCATTGGAGTGGAGTGTACCTCGAGACCGTGGTATCTCCCATAGGCAGCGCCAAATCCCTGCAGTCGTCAAAGGCGTCAGCTCCGCCCATTGTCTAAAAGTCTCAGGAGGAGGAAAAATACTGAGAAAAAGTAGCCTTTTTGACTTGGGTAGAATTTTTGTGAAATTCCAAAACAGTCAATAAAAGTATTTCATAAAGATTTGATCTTTTTTATCTTTTGCTGGGGGGCGACAGTGCCTCTTCAAGGCGTCACCTTGTCTATTACAGAACCTAAGGCAGTAAAGATTTCTATTATCTATGTTTTGTATTATAGGGCGAGTGACATGCCACAAAAAAAGCCCTGGGGACTGTTGGGTTTTTAAACAAGAAAATGTATAGTCTTAAAGGACCACTATAGTGCCAGGAAAACATACTCGTTTTCCTGGCACTATAGTGCCCTTAGGGTGCCCCCACCCTCAGGGTCCCACTCCCGCCGGGCTGGATGGAGAGGAAGGGGTTAAACTCACCTCTTTCTCCAGCGCTGGGCGGGGAGCTCTCCTCCTCCTCTCCTCCTCCGTTACGCTCCGCCGGCTGAATGAGCATGCTTGGCAGGAGCCGCGCGCGCATTCAGCCAGTCCATAGGAAAGCATTCACAATGCTTTCCTATGGACGCAGGCATCTTCTGACTGTGAAAATCAGTGAGACAGCCACTAGGCTTGATTAACCCTAACATAAACATAGCAGTTTCTCTGAAACTGCTATGTTTATAGAAAAAAGGGTTAACCCTAGATGGACCAGGCACCCAGACCACCTCATTAAGCTGAAGTGGTCTTGGTGCCTATAGTGGTCCTTTAAACATAGACAAAGCACTGTCTGTCACCACCACTCAAACATATGACAATGCTCAGAGGACTAGTTGACTATGGAATATTGTCTATTTATGTCACTTTGCAATTCGTCCACATTTAGCCTGATCAGGTGATCATTTGAATGCTCAACTCCAAGCTGAAAGGTACCTTATACATATATAAATATATATATCATGATCCTCCTGTTTCCCCTCCATTGGTCACTTAATCTCAATTGATCTGTAAACCAAATGGTAGGAATATGTTAATATCAGTCTACTGCAAAATGTATATATAATATTATATTATCTAAATATTTTTCAGTACACTGATTGGCCCATTTTGGTTTTCCTGACTCGGTTCCCAAACCAGTTTTTTTGGACCAAAATGCAGGCATCCTGAAAAATGTTCTGTCTTCGGGTAAAATGGTTTGAGCAAGCTGAATTTTCATCATCGTGCACAAGTCTGTTTTTCAACATACATGGCAACAGTGGTTCAAATATGATGGTGATCTGTTGTACCCCTGAAAAGTAGACATTATTTGGGACTGCTCAGGAAAAGCTATCTGTTCTATCTGTGTTCAGCTGTGTTCTGTTACTCTGATATGATATTCAGTAACACACAGCACAAGCTCTTACAGGCCCCAGCATGCTTTAACATAAAGACTCTTCAGATGTTTACAATGACAGCAGACCATTCCTTTTTACAGTCATTACTGAACAAATGGCTGGTTGTCATGGTAATGCTGGCAGAGGATTCAGAGGAATGTAAGTTCTGTAATAATTTTAAAAATAAATAAATAAAAAGAAGTATTTCCAGAAAGTAGAAAATGTTGGAATCTCACGAAATGCAATTATTTCAAATCACGGAGGGACTAAAGCTAAAATAAATTACTTCTAATATAAATATATATATATTTTATTTTGTCCTTAAATGGTCAGCTTAATGCCCTTTTAATTTAAATTCAGTAATTCTGAAAATGGGTCAACTTACAGAATCTAAATATTTCTTTGTCTCTCCTCAAAGGTAGTTTGTAATGCATATTTAGTATAGAGTGTTAATGATATAATGATTAATGTTATGGGCACTATTAATCCATTCTTATATTTTCCTCCACTTTTTTTTCCAGAGATAAAATGTGTGAATGTTCATAGTGATCCCAGAAGAAATTTGTGTCAAGAGAACATTCAAAGATCAGCAAGTCCTACTCCAAATTCCGAAGGCATCTTAATCTCCAGAGGAACTCAAAGAGACAACTGTACAACTAATGGCAATGTTGTCTTCAATGAGACTCATTCACATGTAAATGGATATCTGGATCGACACCAAAGCCCATCTACTGGAAGTTACAACCAGATGTCAGAGGGCATTGCCATCCCACATCAGAGATTGAACCATTATAATACCAACATTTCTTCATCCATGGGTTCAGAAAACATTTCATATCCCCTGTACCAATTTCGAAATTATGACGTCTCCAGCATGTCCAACAGTCCAGGTTCTGATACCAGCTACATTCTGGGAAGGTGAGCTAAGATACACACTAGTAAACTAGAGGAACTTTGGTATAGGAGAGTTGTAATAATAAATACATTGTATGAAAAGTGTTCTGAGAGTTTCGCTTCAATGCAAACAAATATTTTGTAGATAATCATATAAGCAAATTGTTGGGTCAATAACCGCCCATGTTAACAGAATCATAAATCTGACAACAGATAAGTTCTACATTAAAGTACAGAACAAAGCCAACGCATTTAATATCTAATAAGGAACATGATGATAGGTACATACAATCAATATATTTTGCAGCAGAAGAGGAATGGTTGAGAAATACAAACCAAGAATTTGATGGCTGATAAGTGCTATCTGGCGAGAAACATAAAATGAATGTAGTTGACCGACAATAATAGACATGTTGATAGGTACAGAGAAACAATGTTTTTTTTGTAGACAACAGCTGTTTTGATCACAGAGTATGTAAATATATTTCTTCTGTTATCTGCTTCTGATATTTTTTAGTGCTTTGCCTTGTGTTGTCCAAAATAGACCTATTCATGGTTAAACAGCCTTAATTACTCTGTCTGTTATACGTAACATGATCAAATGGTATTGTCAGATGAAATTGTATCTCTACATATAACTAGTTGACGGCTAGTAAATATTTCAAATATAACACGGAAGAATTTGTACTTGGAAGTTATGAAGTTATTGTAGAAAAATAAACAAAATACCCTATATAAGGTTACTTGTTATGGGTGGAGCCGTTCATTAATACAACTTGTGCATATGCCATGTGATATTTATATTCTCTTCTCTAATCTGAGTGAACCAGATTAGAAAAAATGTAGTTTAATCATCAATTTGCGTGCAATGTTATCAGAAAAGCTATAATATGCTTCAAAAGTTCAGGAACGACTATAGATGATGCTGCCATGAATAGGAATCAAAATCAAGAATCCGTAAAATAAAATAAAAGTCCTATTATTGTAAATGAAGCATTTCTGGATATGCCCACTTTTTTTTAAACACATAAAAACAAAACAAAGGTTTCAAGTGATTTCTGATGTAATGGTAATAAAATATGATTATTAAGTCTCAACCGACAAAGATATGAATGCGGAAGATTTTTGATTTAGTGAATAAAACTCAGAATGTGTTACATTTAATGTATTCTGTTTTGTTTCTCGGAAAATGAATATATATATAAAAAAATGTTTACCTTTACAGTACCCAGTCACTTCACAATGATGAAATTGATGGTCAGCAGTTGCCTGGAAGAATAGCAGAAAGTCCCTTTGGGTCTTTGGGATCATTTTCCCAACTAAACAGCCCAGGAATGATGTCCCCTTCTTCATCCATACATTACTTTGACCAGAACCCAGATGCTTGCAGTCACCCAGCGTTGTCTATGATAGCCAACCAGTCAAAGACATTTTCACGACTTTCTACAAAGGGTCATGCCAACAGTTGCCCTGCATCAGTTGCCAGTTCTAGCATGGACATCCCTATTCTTCTTGTAAATGGATGCCCAGAAAGTCAAGACAGATCCTCTATGTCTTCGACAAGTTTCCATGGAAGCCAAAGACGAAAAAGTTCCTCCAGTTTCAATAGAGCGAATAAGACCTACTCAGATTCTTCCATCTCAACCTTTTCTGACAGTAAGTTTACAGTTTTATGAGACTGGTGTTCCTAACAATGCCTGGGAACGTTAAGCTTACAGTAGTCTAGCTCTACTATGTGCTGTTAAATACGGTAATGAAAAATAATCATAATTAACACTATGTTTAGAATACAACTCTTCCTGCTAAGGAAGGACTTCTATAAACAAATTATTTTAATAAGAACATTATACTGCTGGTTTATAAAATAAAAAATAAAATAAATAAAAAGGTAATAGTGCAATATGGTTTTCCTGATCATACATGGCAGCATTAACTTATTTGTTAACTCCTCCCCTCACAGCAGAAATTGGTATAAATAGATCCACCCCTTCCCATCAGGCAGTCTTTTTTCCTGTCCTTCTTGGGAGTTTGGAAGGAGTCTGCTTAAGCAGGCCTAGATTTTTCTATTATGCTCACCAGGCCAATATTTTTGTAGGCCTTGTCTTATGCATGAACACCCAGCATATCTAAGTTTTATAGGAGCGCCTCTTTGAAACAGATAAAACAGACCGACGTGTTTGCTATTGAATAATATTTTGACCTTATTATTTTGTACATTCAACATTACTTTAAATAAATGGTTTCAGTGGAATTTAAACGTGGTTAGAGGGGTCCATCTAATGTTTTTTTTGCATCTGAGAATATAGTTCGCTGTTGTTTTTGAGGCAAGAGTTTGCACTATCTCAATGAAGTGATCTGTGTGCTATGTCCCTACCTGCTTAACCCTGCAACTACAAACATTGCCATTCTGCAGGATTTTTTATGTGACAGGGTTTTAATGCCTCCTGTGGCGCTTCTCCAAAATAGCAGAGTAAAACTATTTCTGTCAGATGGTCTTATAGGTCCATCTGACTGGTGTTGCACAGTGTTTGGGGAAAGATATGGGGAAACTTTGGATTGACTGAGATGATCAGTCTGAAATCAACGCAAGAGAAAAGGCCTAAACAGCTAATATGGCACTATATAGGGAGTGCAGAATTATTAGGCAAGTTGTATTTTTGAGGATTAATTTTATTATTGAACAACAACCATGTTCTCAATGAACCCAAAAAACTCATTAATATCAAAGCTGAAAATTTTTGGAAGTAGTTTTTAGTTTGTTTTTAGTTTTAGCTATGTTAGCGGGATATCTGTGTGTGCAGGTGACTATTACTGTGCATAATTATTAGGCAACTTAACAAAAAACAAATATATACCCATTTCAATTATTTATTATTACCAGTGAAACCAATATAACATCTCAACATTCACAAATATACATTTCTGACATTCAAAAACAAAACAAAAACAAATTAGTGACCAATATAGCCACCTTTCTTTGTAAGGACACTCAAAAGCCTGCCATCCATGGATTCTGTCAGTGTTTTGATCTGTTCACCATCAACATTGCATGCAGCAGCAACCACAGCCTCCCAGACACTGTTCAGAGAGGTGTACTGTTTTCCCTCCTTGTAAATCTCACATTTGATGATGGACCACAGGTTCTCACTGGGGTTCAGATCAGGTGAACAAGGAGGCCATGTCATTAGATTTTCTTCTTTTATACCCTTTCTTGCCAGCCACGCTGTGGAGTACTTGGACGCGTGTGATGGAGCATTGTCCTGCATGAAAATCATGTTTTTCTTGAAGGATGCAGACTTCTTCCTGTACCACTGTTTGAAGAAGGTGTCTTCCAGGAACTGGCAGTAGGACTGGGAGTTGAGCTTGACTCCATCCTCAACCCTAAAAGGCCCCACAAGCTCATCTTTGATGATACCAGCCCAAACCAGTACTCCACCTCCACCTTGCTGGCGTCTGAGTCGGACTGGAGCTCTCTGCCCTTTACCAATCCAACCACGGGCCCATCCATCTGGCCCATCAAGACTCACTCTCATTTCATCAGTCCATAAAACCTTAGAAAAAATCAGTCTTGAGATATTTCTTGGCCCAGTCTTGACGTTTCAGCTTGTGTGTCTTGTTCAGTGGTGGTCGTCTTTCAGCCTTTCTTACCTTGGCCATGTCTCTGAGTATTGTACACCTTGTGCTTTTGGGCACTCCAGTGATGTTGCAGCTCTGAAATATGGCCAAACTGGTGGCAAGTGGCATCGTGGCAGCTGCACGCTTGACTTTTCTCTGTTCATGGGCAGTTATTTTGCGCCTTGGTTTTTCCACACGCTTCTTGCGACCCTGTTGACTATTTTGAATGAAACGCTTGATTGTTCAATGATCACGCTTCAGAAGCTTTGCAATTTTAAGAGTGCTGCATCCCTCTGCAAGATATCTCACTATTTTGACTTTTCTGAGCCTGTCAAGTCCTTCTTTTGACCCATTTTGCCAAAGGAAAGGAAGTTGCCTAATAATTATGCACACCTGATATAGGGTGCTGATGTCATTAGACCACACCCCTTCTCATTACAGAGATGCACATCACCTAATATGCTTAATTGGTAGTAGGCTTTCGAGCCTATACAGCTTGGAGTAAGACAACATGCATAAAGAGGATGATGTGGTCAAAATACTCATTTGCCTAATAATTCTGCACTCCCTGTAGCTTTAGGAATACACATTTGTATTCCTAATAGTGATGTCCCGAACGATTCGCCGAACGGTTCGCCGCGGACGGCGAACATATGCGGTAAACTTTGACCCTGTACCTCACAGTCAGCAGACACATTCCAGCCAATCAGCAGCAGACCCTCCCTCCCAGACCCTCCCACCTCCTGGACAGCTCACTAAGAATGCAGCTTCACAATGAATGTAAAATGGATGCTGTCCAGGAGGTGGGAGGGTCTGGGAGGGAGGGTCTGCTGCTGACTGTGAGGTGCAGGGTCAAAGTTTACCGCATATGTTCGCCGTCTGCGGCGAACCGTTCAGGACATTACTAATTCCTAACACTAAAGTGTTCCTTTAATTTATGTAAAGGGTTAATCCCCTTTAAATAGCTGAGTACTGATAAGTTATGATTTACAGGCTAATGTTTGTTTCAAACCCTTCAAATCTTTATGTGCACCAAGTAATCGTTTTTTCCATCCTACATTCCTGTACTGACTGGTTATAACTATCCAGGTTATGCATCAAAGTGTGAAATGTTCTAAAGGAATTTTGCATTGTAGGCCAAAATAGCCAAATTGTAAAAAGTCTCCAAGTCAGCTATGTTATCATTTCATCTACATTTATCTACATTTGATATTTGCCTTTATGTCACTTTAAATTCAGACTTTACTGTATAACCCTGTGTGACTTCAAGAATGGTGAAATGTAATTGAATGTTTCTGCAGGTAGGTAAGGAAGACATATTAATGTGACATTCTGTCGAAATGGTTGCAAAATTAGAAAATCCGTAAATAATTTATATAATTCCCTTTGGGCATGGTATCATTTTCAGATTGGATCTTTTAGTTTGCCTTAGGTCATTTTTTTTAAAATTTTTTTTGCAAGCAATAAATACACTTCAATTTTGTTTAGAAATTTGGGAAATTCTGACTCTTTGTATCGTCTTGAAATTCATGTAGGTTCCAACAGAGAGGGGCAAACAGGCATGAAATTTGTAATGGCCACTTCGAAGCAGTGGTTCCAGCCTAGCATTACAAGAGACAAAGGTAAGGTAGTCGTTATTATCAAATTCTGTACTCTACAGGCCTTTAAAATATCCCTCAAAAACACTTCTTTAGAGAAGCCTACAAGCTCTCCCCTTAATGCCTCATCCATTATAACCTCCTTCTGCTATCTCGTGTGCTCCATCATCCTAAACAATCCCTTGCCATTCTTTAGGAACATACAGATCACATAATTCCCTTTGTGTATTTCTCCTTCATCTTTTTAGATTGTCATCTTGTTTGGCAAGGGTCCTCCTCAACGACTGTTCCAATATGTCAATCACGTGTTGTTTGAATTTAGTGTTTGTCTTGTTTACCTATTGTATGGCACCTGCAGAATGTTAGCGCTATATAAATAATTGTAATTCTATGATGACCATGTGATGATCAAACTTCATGCTGAGAATTTTCAATAACATTATTCCTAACCAGATGATTACCTAGAACACTGACGTCATAAAAAAGTGAAAATGCGTTTGGGTCTGGTAGAGCTCCAAATCACAAAATGTGTAATTCACTAAAATCTCCTTATTTTTGATTTTGGAAAAGCAAACAAACAGGGGTATGTTTTATTTTGAGCCATGATTGGCAGCAGGGATGCTCAGTGACTCTCTTAGGCCCTGGGGTGTACTAATGGGCATAAATCAGAACGATGGTCTGATTAGTAAATTCAAGATATTCAATGAAGCTAGATATAGGAGAGCTTCAATCAGCTAGAGAATCACCCAACATTTTCATAACTAATAAAATGCAGTGTAAAATAAAAGAAAGGTTAAATAGATATTTGTGTAGTCTAATTCATTGTGTGTGTATACTTTGATTTTTCTTCAGCTATTGAGTTTCTGAAGGACAAAGAACCTGGAACATTTCTTATCAGAGACAGCACAACCTTCCGAGGGTCCTTTGGACTGGCCATGAAAGTCCCTGGGGTACAATCCAAAACAGGTAAGCAAATGTGCTTCCAGTGAAATTATACCTAAAATACATGTAGAAGATATAATATCCAGAGAAGGGTTAAGATCCCACAAATTCCTGGACAGAATTTCAGTCCATTCTTCATTCTTTACATAAGGAAGGTAAAGTGGCCCAAGCAAGCTCATGGTTCTGATGCCTCTGTCTAACCTCTGGGCCCCCAGGCAGCCACCTAGCATCACCTTATGCTTTATCCTGCTCTGATAATACCTTCTAAGAAGATCTCTCTTTGTGTTGTCACCTACAACTCTGAATTGCAGAATCTACCCAGGGCTGCCTTGTTAATATGGGATGCTCCTCCTTTCATACTTTCTCCAATACTTTAGTAAGTCCCCAAAAGTAGTTGATGCCCTTCAAAAATTTAACTTGGTATTTATCCACCCTCATCTCAACCAACATCTTCAAGATATTCACTAAAGTAAGAATTAAAAGTAAATTTCAAATTTAAGGTACAATTGCTGAACTGGAAACATTCCCTAAGTCAATCCTTCCAGTTTAACTACCTTGGCCTAGAATGGTAAATTCACTGTGAATTTACGTTCTCTTCAGTGATTAACCTTGTACATCTCTGTTATTTGAAGTATCTGGCTCACTGTTTCCTTTACGCCTACGTTATAGCATATCATATATTCACTTTTGGATACATTGAACTTCTACCTTTCGTGTAATTAAATCAAATTCCTTTAGACTGTAATGTAATTTGAGCAGTGCCCTTTTGATCTCATATGCCTAACTTACTTTATCACAATTACTTGCTTTCCCTTTTATACTACATTATATGATATATCCTTATACATCATTATTATACATCTGAAAGATAGTGTCCTTGGTCCACTCGCCATTGCTGTCCTCAAAGTGCAAAACAATAGCAGCAATTATCAATCATCTAGTGTCCTGTTAAGATATGGGCATTTCAGATACAGTCACCTCTCCAACTCCACGAGAACTACATGTAAGATCTATTTAACACATTATGACAATCTAGAACCAAACAAGAAAGGTGCAGGAGACATTGCAGTATATCAATTAAGACTGTGTCACACACACATGACTGTAAGGGTACATACCCTTGTGCTACACTACATATCTTGAGCCCTTACCTTCCCAAATAGGTTCCACATTAGTTTCACACCATCAGATATCTTTGCCAGCATTACACCAGACGCTGTAGCACTGCCTCTTCATGACAACATTAAGCGCCGAACACTTCATGCCATCATCATGTCGACACCCACCCACATTTGGGGGCAAGGCTATCAAGGCATATACATACTTGAGCTTTACATCTGTTTAATGCCTTGTTGTGATTTACATTCTGGTGAGAGGTAGTTTTAGATTTATTTCTGATTCTTGGGTTATTGATTTTGGCTTGTTTCAACTATTCTCCATTCTGTATCCCTGACCTTGGTTAGTTTATCGACGCTGTGTACCTCTTTAGTCCCTGGCCTCGGCTTGTTTCTTGACAATCCATTTCCTTGTGTTGTGGTGTTGTGTATGTTAAGCCCGGCCACTGTTCTCCTGGCCCTTTGCGGCTTTATTTTGTGTGTTGGGTTATACCCACCCTGACTTTGACTTGATTAGTCACATAAAAATAGGATATACGATTTTGCAAAGCACAAGTATAAAATATCATGTCAATATATTCACCAGAGAACTAATATTGAATTGGAAAAATGTTGCAAATATCCTATGGAGCTTCAAGCAGGATAGACCAACAGCTGAAATGATATAAACATTCAACTGAAATGATGTAATGACACTCCTATTGTATTGTACTTGTGATTTGAGAGGTGTCTGCTATCCTTTGTCTGATTTTTATTGTCTCAAACACATTTTTATAAAAAAAAAAAAACTGTACAAGAGTCCTTAAATGCCCTTTTTTATAATATATATTTATAAAATGCATATGTACACTCCTATACATAGAAAGATATTGAATGATTTCACATGTAAAGATTGGGTAAGAGTAAAGATTATGGCTGATTCAATTAACTGATATCTCGTATGATACTGACATATACAACGATATATCAATATCCTCTCAACGAGAATCTGAGCCAAGTCATACAAACATGTGATTGACAAATTATCCTGTTCAATGACAACTTGTGCTTTTATTTTCTTCAAAAGGGAAATCAGCCCAATTTTTAAGATCCTGTATAGATCAATTGGAATGATTGTCAATTCTGTAGATCAAAAGGGGAAAAAAGTGGACAATACATCTTAAGTGTATAATCACAGATAAGAGAAATATTAGTCAGAACTCTGCTAAAAGGGAATTCGATATGGCTGTATCTCTCTCCCACTGCAAAAAAAGTATTTATTAGTGCCTGACTCACCATGACTCATAATCCACTTGCTTTGCAGTTGATAAGGACTCTCATTAATGTGCCTCACCCATCAGTAAATGGAACGCGTGAGCCAAACCAATAACGAGATTTGGCTATTTCTTTCTTGAGAATCTGTTTCACAGAATTTCATTACCTACCTTCAATTGTTGCAATCCTCATCAAATATTTGCATCCCTTGATAACCATTTGCAGCACTCTTATCACTCTATGCGTCTGTTTACCCTTTATTGGGCTTTATTGCGCTGTACTTCTGACGTTATGATTTATAAAATTGTAGGATATTCTATTAACAACAATTAAATACTGAATTCTGGCAACCAGTAACACAACTCAATTGTTTTCAATAGTTAATCGACCCAAGGAATATAATATAAAATATCTGTTATCGGATTTTCTGCACAAGCTGCTTTAGTGAAGCTGGCCTTAGAATGAAACAAGTTATGAAGAGATAAAATATGACTCATAATATCAGTACACAGAGTGAACAATATTATCACTCTGTTTTCCATGATTTAAGTAAAGGTACAGAAAAAATACAATGTTAGATGAGATGTTCACATTTACGGTTCCTCCGACAGGCAAGGACTCGAGTGAACTTGTACGACATTTCCTGATTGAATCATCAGCCAAAGGTGTTCACCTAAAAGGTGCATCTGATGAACCATACTTCGGTGAGTGTAAAGAAACTTTTTTTTTAAAGTAGATTATAATGACTGTAGAACAGAGCAGATGTGGCCAACACGTGATTGTCCAACTCTTGTGGACAACAAAACCAGCTCTGGATAAGTGTGCCATGTAAGAATTGGTAACTAAATATACTGCATACTCCAGAACTTAGAAACTGATTTGAAATTAGTTCAAGATAAGTCTAAGAAATTGCCATAATTAATTATTATAGGGGCACTATAGGCACCCAGACCACTTAATCTCAATGAAGTGGTCTAGGTGATGTATCCATGTCCTTCAAGCTCTGCAATGTAACAAATTGTAGTTTTTTTTAGAAACTGTATGTTTACACTTTTGTTGCACTAGATGTGACTTCAATGTGGAACTTTGAATGAGCATGTGATGCTTACTGCACATGTACATTGGGTCCCCAATGCTTCCTTTAAGAATAATTTCACAGGAGACAGGAAAAGAAACTGGTCCTTTACAATATATAACCAGAAGTAAGGTTTTATTAAAATTAACACATCAATCTGCTTTATATGTATATGCATTTTATGTGTACGAATATGTTTAACTGCATGTTTCTTAGAATAAGTAAACACAGTCTAATCCCTTACTGTTCAGAATGTAATATGTTTCTTCATTATTTTGAGGACATCATTTATAGAGCCGTCTAATGCTGCAATCAAATGTCATCTTTTAAGACCTATGAACACATTTAGGTCAAATGATTGAGTTTATTAATGTCACAATCATATGGCACACATTTTCAATAATATTCCAAGTTTCACATGACTATGAACTTTTATTCCATAATCTTAATCTCATTTTAAGTACATAACCGTACTCTTATCAGTAATGACCTGCTGTATGACTGGGATGAGGTTAGAAAATCTGCAGAAGTTGCTTTGATAAATGTGTGTCAAAAATAGTTTGCCTTCTTGTGAGACCTTGATTGTCCTCACTTGGTTACATCCGGTATAATCAGAACGTCCAACACTTGACCAAGTGTCAGTGTAAAGTCTCGCAGTCTAAGCAACAGATGTAATAACCACCATAAACAATTCCATAGTGTTATCATTCTCTACATATCAGACGATAAGTTTGACATGATTGGACTTTCGACCTCAGAGCAATTCACTTTTCTGCGACATTTCTAACACTTGGCATGTCTTGCCTTTCAGGAAGTCTTTCTGCACTTGTACATCAACACAGCATTACTTCTTTGTCTCTACCTTGCAAATTATTAATCCCAGATAAAGGTATGTACCAAGAATTATCACACGTTAACTCAAGAGGGATAGCATGTCTATAGTTGTATTGCAATACAACCTCTAAATTGACAAGACTTTTGATAATGGGGGTATTTTACCAACGATAACTCAAGAGTGGGAGAAAGGGTTTTTATCTCTGACTGCTTATTTTTTCCAAGTACTGATACACTTAAAATAGAAATTCAAGTGTTTCCAAAACTTAGGCTGCCATGGTCTAAGTCCTTCCATCAATTGCTTTAAACATGTTGCGTAACATCAAGTGGCCTTAGGTTTAGTTGAAAATTTGTCTGATCTTAACACTTTGTGATCTATCATCAAAATGTCTATTAGTCCCATGCCTTGATGAGAAGGGGTGAATGTGGACTTTTAATATAATTAACATCGTCTTCCACACAGATCAGCATAACGGGGAAAGCAGTCCGGATTCTCCTCCAGGACCCGCTGTGTCTGAGCTAAACACATCAGCTGGTGAGTTCTAGATTCAAGAAGTCCAAAGAAAATACACAATATTTTTCACTGAAAGAATTTGCATCACAACCAGACTGTGTGCCAGTTGTAGTCATGAAGCTTTTGAAAAAGAGATGCATGGCATGAGACAAATGTTTCATAGGTGCCTTTGAATAATGCTAATGATAATCAGAGACACAAGCCACCATGTTGATATAGTCTATGGGGCTTATTCAATAAATAGAAAGCTGACAAGGGAATAGCAAGGTATAGGGCAAATATAGTCAACTTGGATATTTTTTCAACTTGTCTTCTTTGCACCATAATATACTATTGTCCGTTCTCTACTTTTGCCATCATAAGGAATAAACCCGTGATTTTTCCAGCCAATATAAATAATGAATAGAGAAATGTACAACAAAATGGTTGTGGAAATATAATGATCTATTAATGAATTTAGTGCACGCAAAGCTCAACTTTGTGGCAGGTCCTTTATAAACAGATTCTGGATTTTGACATTAGTTGAACAGATATACAGCATCAACGTTTTGTGATAGCAGAAGGTTAAGGTTGAGACCAGACATGGTTTAAGTTGGTGTTGAAGAGGTCTTCAGACTATGTTTAAACTAAAAAAAAATGAGACCAAAATAACACTCATTTATAAGTGATCTGTCTTCACCTGGCAATGCACCCAAGGGAGAGAGTCATCCTGGTCGAAAGTTAATATTTGTTTGCTTGCTCATAGCTATAGCAACATACACAACATTTAGGCTTGGACTTGGACTCTCTACCTGTTAGGTGTGTGAGAAGAAAAAACAAACTATCTTATAGTTCTTGTAGTAATAACAAAGTGTTTTAGCTCATTTCTGTATAACACAGATATTTTGTTTCTCCCACAGCATGCAATGTCCTGTATCTAAATTCCGTCAGTACTGAGACACTGACGGGGTCAAGTGCAATCCAGAAAGCTGTATCTGCTACCTTTGAGAAGTCTAACCTACCCATGCAAACCATCGTACACTTCAAAGCCAATGAGCAAGGCGTTACTTTGACTGACGTCCAGCGCAAGTAAGGACAAAATCCACATAATGTAATGTTGCCATTGAGTTGGTGTTCTGCCGCATGTAACTGACATGTCTGCTCTTTTTCCATGTAGAGTTTTCTTCCGCCGTCATTATCCACTTTCAACCCTAAACTTCTGCAGTGTGGATCCTGAGCTAAGAAAGTAAGACCACCATTTAATCTTTGGCACTGTTTTTATGTAACAAGAGGAGATAGAGAGAAGTTATATATAAAGTAATAGGAGTTATACAGAGTGGTAATTTGGTGTAATAGGAAGAGTTATAGGGAGATGGTACACTGTATGGAATAATGAGAGGAGTTATGGGGAGAGATCATATGGAGTAAAATGAGGAGTTATAGTGAGAGGATATATGAAGTAATAGGAGGCGTTATAGGGAGCAGCTATATGAAGTAATAGGAGGAGTTATAGGGAGAGGATATATTGAGTAATAGGAGGAGTTATAGGGAGAGGTTATATGGAGTAATAGGAGGAGTTATAGGGAGCAGCTATATGAAGTAATAGGAGGAGTTATAGGGAGAGGATATATTGAGTAATAGGAGGAGTTATAGGGAGAGGTTATATGGAGTAATAGGAGGAGTTATAGAGAGAGGTTATATGGAGTAATAGGAGGAGTTATAGAGGGAGGCAATTTTGAGTAATAGGAGGAGTTATAGAGAGAGGTTATATGGAGTAATAGGAGGAGTTATAGGGAGAGATATGGAATAATATGAGGAGTTATAGAGGGAGGCTATTTGGAGTAACAGAAGCAGTTATAGAGAGATGTTATATTGAGTAATAGGAGGAGTTATAGTAAGAGGTTATATGGAGTAATAGGAGGAGCTATATGGAGACGTTATATGAAGCAATGGGAGGAGTTATAGGGACATGGTATACTGTATGGAATAATAGGAGGAGTTATAGGGAGAGGTAAAATGGAGTAATATGAGGAGTTATAGAGAGAGGTTAAATGGAGTAATAGGAGGAGTTAATTAGAAAGGTTATATGGAGTGATATGAGGAATTATAGGGAGAGGTTATAGAGTGATAGGATGAGTTATTGGGAGAGACTATATGGAGTTATAGGAGGAGTTATAAGAAGAGGTTATATGGAGTAATAGGAGGAGTTATAGGGAGAGGTTATATGGAGGGAGTAATAGGAGGAGTTATAGGGAGGTTATATGGAGTAATAGGAGTTATAGAGAGAGGTTATATGGAGTAATAGGAGGAGTTATAGGAAGATTTTATATGGAATAATAGGGGATGACCTTGAAATTGTTGAAATTGGGAATTGTTTGAAATATTATATGAAGGACAAGGAGACATTAAGTATATGGAGATTTTATAGGCAAATGCTGTATTGAGCGCTATATAAATGTATGTAAAGGGAGAACTCAAATGATGAAATAGCAGGTACATGTTGTAGAGCAATAGGGGTCCTATTGGTGTTAGTAGACTGCAGATACATACTGTGTGTAATGAAAGTGAAGTTGATGCCTGGTGGGGCCATGATGTCAGCTTTGCTGATTCCAGTCTACCTTACTTGCTGGGACATGATTAAGGGGCGTCTGTGATTCTCACAATATTTCATTACAATGTGGCTGCAGGGAAACTTTGTGGTGGAGATATGATTAATGGAGCCTGCAGTCACAGCCAAGCAGTATGAGAAAATGAGTATATTTATGTGTCCTGCCAAGATAGCTAAACTCACACGTCTATGTTTGTTTCTGAGTTAGGATGCCTTGAATGCTTCCACTGACATGTTGGAGCTCACCATTTATGATGCAAGCAATGTTTGCAGATGCTTATCATGGTGGCTTTGTTCGCTTCAGCCATATTGAAGACCCACATATTGTCAGTTGGTATGTAAAATGGGCGTTTTGTCAATGTGTAGCTCTCATTAGCAGGCAGAAAAAACACAACCACATTGTCCTCTGCCATGATTTAATAATTGGTGTTCTGTTTTCCTTATAAAACCAAACTTGGAATTTCTGTCTGGTTTAAATTGGCACTCAAACTCCGAAACAAAAATATCTCAAACTACATGAGCTGGCCATTTATGAAATGTGAATTAACAACCTTTATATCAAGGATTTCAAAACTGCAGGATTCTTAGCCATTTTTTGAAATCAACCACCATGACCCTGGTAGATACTGTATGAGAGTGGAGGCAGTAGATCAGCAATAAAGGGCAAAGGGTGGTTTGACTCCGACATAGGTCATTTTCTAAGGTGTCTCATTTTGGACACATTTATTCAAAACAGGTAATGATTTTTAGGTATTGCTGCAATTCTTATTTTCTGCCAATAGATGGAAATCTCTGCCTCTTAAATTTCTACATCTTTATATTTTTTTCACGTTCCAGGTGGCAAAAGCATTGCAGATCTTCAAGGTAAAAACCTCTTTTACAATTCTCAGTTTTTGCACGCTTTCCGTTTTATACAGTTCTTCTCTAAATTCAGACATTTATTTGCTTTCACGTAATGTCATTTCAATAGAACAGTGGACACGCACTCATACGCATATTGACCAGAGGAGCTTAGCCGAAATGAGGTTAACACAACTTCCACAGAGTAATCCAACATTATAGATATCCAGGAACTCAAGTGTTACCTCAAAGGCAGATTTAATGGAGTTTAGTGTAAAAACACGGCAACATTTCAACAACTATCTGTGGTCTTTATCAATAGACCTCAGACAGATAAAGACCTCATGTAGAAGTCAAAACATTGGTGCCTTCGAAGTAACCCTTGAGTGCCCGGATTTCTCTCCATGTTGTTAAAGTAATTTAGGTCATCATTAGCTTGTGATTGGAGATGGATACAAACAACCTTAAAGGATCACTGTAGTGTCAGGAAAACAAAGCGGTTTTCCTGACACTATAGTGCCCTAAGGGCGCACCCACACTCAGGGTCCCCCTCCCGTGGCGCTGTGGGGGTTAAAACCCTTTCAGCAGCTTACCTTTATCCAGCGCCGGGCTCCCTCGGCGCTGGTGACCTCTCCTCCCCCGCCGACATCAGCTCCCGAGTGGAGCGGAAAGCAATTGCGCGGAAAGTGCCGCGTGCGCATTCAAACAGTCCATAGGAAAGCATCTCTCAATGCTTTCCTATGGACGTTCTGCCCGCTGGATGCGAATTTCGCATCCACCGTCGCAGATGCACCTCTAGCAGCTGTCAGGAAGACAGCCACTAGAGGCCAGATTAACCCTGCAATGTAAACATAGCAGTTTCTCTGAAGCTGCTATGTTTACATCTGAAGGGTTAAAACCTGAGGGACCTGGCACCCAGACCACTTCATTGAGCTGTAGTGGTCTGGGTGACTATAGTGTCCCTTTAACTTTGTTATTGCCATAATAATCACAATCAGGTATATAAGTCAATAAATAACCATAAGCAGACACCTAATCAAACATATGATTACCATTTCTTATAAATGAGAATATACTTGTATGTTACCTGCCAAAGTACATTTTATATTTAAAGGGACACTGCCGTCACTACAACTATTTATCTCAATTAATTGGTTATAATGCCTATAAACTAAACAAAGAATGGGTCAGTGACTAACGATCAAAAGCTACACAGGAATAGGTGAATACCATATAAGTTATTTGTACGTCAGTGCTATTTAAATATATATTAATGTGTAAGTTAAGTTTATAATCATAGAATATTCATGGAGATGGGGCAATCTTTCCCTTTTGAGTAAAATCTCAACAACATTCATACGTAATCTGTGAAATAAAACATACTAAAACAGCGTAGATGTTTAAAACAATACTTGTTTTTAGAGGGAGAAAATTATAGAAGTAATCAAGAAATATTTCTGAATTTTTTTTTTTAATACTGACGATATATTCCATATTTTATGTATTTATTCAGGATTTTTGGATTTGTTGCGAAGAATCCAACTGATGCCTCTGACAACGTGTGCCACATCTTTGCAGAGTATGACGCTATTCAACCAGTTTCACCTCTAATTACTTTCTTAACAAACCTGATTCAACAACAAGAAAAGGTGTAATTTCTTCAGTTACCACTAGAGGAGCCTTGTTTTGACATATATCCATCACTTGCTCCCTTGAGATATGGATTGCACCCTCTTAAACCACATGTTCTATATTTCGTACTCCAGATAAACCTTCTAGAACGGACATGGTTTTATACCTGAAAAAACGACTACTATTGAAAAGGATAAAGTTGGGATTGTAGCCAACATTCTAAGGAAACTGTGTTCACACTTTGATCCACCACTGACCTCGATCAGCAGAGAAAACATTTTTTTTTATTTTTATTTTTGTATTGCCTGCATAATCTACTTCCAAGACACACAGCCCCCATGCCCTACCTTTTAGATTATCACAATTCTTTTCTATGAAACTCTACCCTGATGCGTCTCACTAATATGTTCGTGTGGGAATAATGGCTAGGTAAGCATTTTGCACTAATGCTCACAGATTTCTAGATACGCGTGTAGCTATCTTTTTTTATCTTAAATTATGTTTTGCATAATTTCTTGTGTTGCTTAAATTCCCGAAACACTCAATCTTTGTCTCTCAGAGGTAGCATCCTAAGGATCCATATTGACTATGGTGACATCACCATTCCACTTCTTATAGAAATTTCTGAAATCAAAGTGAAAAATTAGTGATAATTCTATATTATTTTTTATTATTGTTTTATTATTTATATAGCGTCAGCAAATTCCACAGCGCTGTACAATGGGCTATATGTACAGTTCTCCTATTTGTAGGAGTATAGCCTTTGAGGACCTTTATAATAAGGTGTTTTTTTTTAATTATTAACTTAGTCTTAAGCAGGGCATAGGTGATATAACAAATAGCCACTGTTTCAGACTGCCACAGTGTTAAAAGACACTGAAACATCATATCTGCTCTATTAACAATTACTACTTTAAGTAAACAAGAATCTGTTGCTATAAATTTTTACGTTGCCATTGTTAGAATGTCTTAGAATTCTTTGTTTTATACTTTTCATTATATTTATATATTTGTCTTTTGTATTTGTTAAATAAAGTATTTTTTTTCAAATAAAATTATATATTGTGATGTATTTTTTCAGCAATTGCATTCATCCAGCCATATCTGGGAATATTCAAGTTTTTTTTTTTTATGAGTGGAGTTTATTAAAGTAGAAATGGTATTTTTAAAACTTCCCATGTGCCCGCCCCTGATTATTCCCTGCCAGTTTCAGCTGAGTAAAATATGTTAGAGGTCAAAGGGCAGGGCTCAAGTGTTTGTTAACTCAGTTCCCTTACTGTGTTTGGAGAGAGAGCCAAGTTCCAAACACTTCATACTGAGGGCTGGCGCTACTACAAGGTGGCACAGGTGGCACCGGTCCTGGGGGCGTAAGATCTATCTAACCTCCAGGACAAGAGCGCACATCATAGCGCTCCCCTCCTGCTGATCAGGGATGGTGCAAGGATTTTTGACTACACAGGCGAAGATGCATTTTGCCTCCCCCCCAAAAAATGCATCTCCAGCTGTGTGTTATGTAACCCCCCTTTTGAATTTCTTACTCCCTTCAGTGTTTTATATCCTATCTTTCGAATATCATTCTCCCTTTTTCTCCTTTGTGTGTTTTACACCCCCTTTGCTGTGTTTTATCCCTCGTGTGTCTTACAACCCACTTGTGTATCTTCCCAGCCCCTTTGTCTGTCTCTTCTCCCCAGCTCCTTTGTGTGTCTCTTTCTCCCAAACATCTTTGTGCGTCTTTCTTCCCCTCAGCCCTTTTGTACGTCTCTTTCTCCTCAGCTCCTTTGTATGTCTCTTTGCCCCTCTCAGCCCCTCTGTGTGTCTCTTTGCCCCTCTGTGTGTCTTTATCCCCACTCAGCCTTTCTGAGTTTCTCTTTGTGCCTTTTGTGTGTCTCTTTGTGCCCTTCAGCACTTCTGTGCCTTTCAATGTCCCTGTCCTGTACCTTTTATTGTGCCCCCTGAACCTTTTATTATGCCCCTCCCCTTCCCTCCTGTACCTTTTATGGTCCCCCACCCTTCCTGTAGCTCTTATTATCCCCCTTCCAATCCTGTAACTCTTATTGTACCCCCTCCCCTCCTGCAACTCTTCTTGTCCCCCCTCCTGTAACTCTTCTTGTCTCTTCCCTACCCTACAGTAACTCTTCTTGCTGTCCCTCCCCTCCTGTAACTCTTATTGTCCCCCTGCCCTCCTGTAACTCATCTTGTCCCTCCTTTCTAACTCTTCTTGTCCCCCCTCCCCTCATGTAACTCTTCTTGTCCCCCCTGTAACTTTAATTGTGCCCCATTCATCTCCCTTCATGTAGCGTGGTTAAGTGGGTGGTACGTGGCATTGTTGCATCTCCTGTCAGACCGGGAAAACCACGGTCCGCTCGGTTGGCCATGCTGCATGCAATGACCGGCAAGAGGGGCGTGCTATGCAGGGTACTCTCTTCCTGCTGGTCATCCGAGGATCGCGCCCCCCCCTCGCGCCGGTGCACCCTAAGGCACCCGCTTGTGCCGCCTTATGGCAGCGCCGACCCTGCTGCCGGCCTCTGTGTGAAGCGCCGCTGAGCGCGTACTGAGGGAGATGAACTTCACTAAGCTCTACCACGGTCTACGCTTGGCCATGCTACACAGCAGTAAGGTGAAGATACATATGGGGTAGGGGAAGGGGGGGGGGGTAAGACACAGGGTGGGGGTGTGTGTTTGTATGTAATATTTGTGTTAGATTGCAGGAGTGCGTTTGTATGTGGTGCGGGTATTTGACTGCATGGATGTATGCACACACACTACCACATACATACACTGACATTTACAGACACGCACACTGACACAAACATTGATACATGCGCACACCCTGACACACAGATGCACATACACAAATGTGTGCACACACAGACACACACGCACTGACATATATGCACACACACTCACACATATACACACACTCATACACACACACACTCATACACACACTCATACACACTTATACACACAGTCACTCACACACACTCATATACACACACACTTATATACACACATACACACACACTCATATATACACATACACACACACACACACTCTCATACATACATAAACACACACACACACTCACTCACTCACACAAGTGATATTTTTTTATATCTCCAGCCACCCTCCTGTTAGCTTACCTTGTATGTCCAGGAAGGTGGCTTGGAGTCCTGCTGGCTGCTGTGTGTGAGGGGTCTGGAGTACTCCTGGGGCGCCGCAGCACACAGTTTAGGAACCGTTGGGCTAGCCAACTAAAGGAACACTTAGCACCATAGCCACTACAGCTTCCAGCTCTCAATGGAGGAAGTGCCCTGGCATTCTCCCAGGATAAGCAATCATACCATTTGCAAATAGTTTGACAACTTATATGCAGGGCCAGATTAAGAGCCCAGTGGGCCTGGTGCTGACAATTATGATGGGGACTAATTACAGAATCTTATCGACCAAAAACACTAAAACAGTCATACCTCTCAAGTGTTATGTATCTGATGAAGTTGGTGTTGGAGGGAAACTCAAAAGATGCAGCTATAAGAAAACACATACTCTATGCTAATCTCTTTATCGTTTATGCTTTCATCTTTCAAGTAAATCCATACCCCTAACAGCAGTGTCCAGTAAAGCAGGAAGTCAATGGACAGGGTGAAAGGGTGGGTCACTGATGCAAATCACGTGACCAAAACTGCCAAAAGGGACGAAAATGCCCCAAAAGGGGGCATGTCTGTCCAAAGAATTGGAAGGCCAGCCTGGCATCAGTGTTCCTATGTATCACAGTGTCAGTGTCCCCATGTCGCCCAGTCCCCTAGTCTCCCAGTCTGTGTCCCCATTTCTCCCAGTGTCCCCAATGCCTCAGTGTGTCCTGTGTCACTAGGATACTAGTGGACACTGAGAGACATGGGGACACAGTGAGACATGAGGACACTGGGAGACATGGGGGCACTGAGACACTTGGGAACACTGGGAGACATGGGGGCACTTGTGGATACATACATGGGAACACTGGGAGACATGGAGACACTGGGAAACATGGGAACACTGAGACATTTGGGGACACTGGGAGAAATGGGGTCACAGACACTAGGGACACAGAGACATGGGGACACAGATACTGGGAGACATGGGGACACAGACATTTGGGGAAACTAAGACACTAGGACACAGAGACATGGGAACACAGACACTGGGAGACTAGGGGACACTGGGAGACATTGGGGCACTTGTGGATACAGACATGGGAACACTGGGAGACATGGAGACACTGGGAAATATGGGGACACTGAGACATTTGGGGACACTGGGAGAAATGGGGTCACAGACACTAGGGGACACAGAGACATGGGGACACAGATACTGGGAGACATGGGGGCACAGACATTTGGGGAAACTAAGACACTAGGACACAGAGACATGGGAACACAGACACTGGGAGACTAGGGGACACTGAGACACTGGCTGGGAGGCATGGGGACACAGACACTTGGGGACACTGGGAGACATGGGAGCATTTGTGGACATAGACATTTGGGGACACTGGGAGACATGGGGACACTAGGGACACAGAGACATGGGGACACAAACACTAGGGACACTGGCTGGGAGACATAGGGAAACTGTGAGACATGGGGACACTGAGACACTGACTGGGAGACATGTGGACACTGTTAGACATGGGGACACATACATTTGGGGACACTGGGAGACATGGGGACACTGGGAGCCATGAGGACACTGAGACACCAGGGACACTGGCTGGGAGACATGGGGACACTGGGAGACACGGAGACACTATGTCTCACAGCATCCCCATGTCTCACAGTGTCCCCAAGTGTCTCAGTGTCCCCAAAGGTCTCAGTGTCCCCATGTTTCCCTGCTGCCTTTCGCCCCATCCTTCACATACCTGAGCTGTAGTCTGTCTCTGCAGGCTGGGAGCTGCTGTCTGGACTCTCTGTGCTGTGTAGCTGCTCCCCCGCGGATCAGTGAGTAGAGAGAGGTAGGGATATGCTGTAACTTCTTATCCCTGCCTCTCTCCACACACAGTGACCCCTACTGGCTGGTATTGCAGAGTAATCTCCGTTTATACTAAGAAAAATATTTGCATTTGTATTGCCGGTATTACTGCAATACCGTCACGGCCAGGCAGCCTTAAAATATCAGTCAGGTGGCAAAAGAATAGTGTGAAAAAAAAAAAGTTTTTAAATGGGCCTATTCCATGGGCATGGGCCTGGAGCTGCAGCTCCATCAGCCCCTATGTTAATCCGGCCCTGCTTATATGGTGTCTGCCAGTCCCAGTCACTTCCTCAACTGAGAGCTGGAAGCTCCTGCTACCCTAAACTAAACCTTGCAGCTTAGCAAACCCCAGGTAAGTTACCCTGGGAGGGGTCTCCTGCAACCATAACGCCTACAGTGTGCGGTTGTGGTGATGGTGAGTGGTATGTTCCTTTAACAGGTAATCTCAGTCTCATTTGGCTAGAAGTGATTACAATTTAATATTTCTATGTATATTGAATGTGTGCAATTCTGTATAAATATACTTAAATAGTTTATGTTTTGGTATTTGATTATTAAACTAGTATTAAACATGAGATAGGGGGTTCTGTTATGAAAAACAGAATTAATTATGGAGTTTTTTAGACAAGTATTCAAATTGTTATGATTTTACTAGTAAACGTGGCTACTTTTTCCTATCTCGGCAGTATTGCACAAACTCTTGTATACAAAAGAAAAGTAAATTTTAATGTGCCAGAAATTCAAGGATTGGTCCAGTGTCTACTTTGGAACACTCTTGGCAATGGTGAGAAAAGTTTCTTAACAGATAGGAAGGGGTTGTGAACCTGTCAATATTTCAGCTTAGAGTAACCTTAATGTCATCGGAATGTGACTTCTCCCTTGTATTAAGGAAGACACAGAAGCTGCCAATGCATTTTACCTTCATCTCGGAAGGGTTCCAGATGCTGTGGGATCCTGTATATTAAAGTATTGAAAGTACTTGATAACTTTTCAATACATCAAATAATGGAATAAAAATAAGCATTAATATTTGTATTTATTTCTAGG